CCTGCTGATTCAGATGGTGCCGGTCCTGTCATGTAACATTAAAACCAATTTGTAACTTAGTTGTGAAAATTCTGATTTTTTTTCCCCCTCTAAGTACTTGTTAAATCTGACCCTAGTCTCTTCGATATTCATTTGTGCACTTTTGAGCAGTGAGAATTTTGGGATTGATAGTAGATTTGTCAATTGGCAGAGAAATGTCATTTTCAGGTGCTTCCTGCTGGGGTGCAGGTACTGTAACCCGCTCCCCCTCCCTTCTGCAGCCGTCGGGCTCCCTGAACCACCCAATGCGTGCCAGCTCCCTTGCAGCTGCTGAGAAATTGCTCCTGACAGCTGATTTGTTGGTTGTCAGAACTGGTCGCTGTGCGGCTGATAAGGGCGCAGAGGCCCGAGATGGAAAACTAACTGCCTCTCATGATTTCAAAGGCAGCCCCATCAGCCTGGGGCCTGCAGACACATGTAAATGTCTCTGGGCTGAAATCACCAGGGATGTTTCCTCCATGTGCGGGGCCGCTCTTTAAAGAGTTAGTCTGCGCTTAGCATGCAGCGTCTGGCCATGTAGAAAAGCATTGCAAATGCCACCTTTTAAATGTTTAATTTCAGACTCTTTGTTTGCATGCGGTTATTGTTGCCCTGACTGAACAAAACATAGCTTTATATGAATCTTGCTGGGTCCTTTTTAACAAAGAACAAAGGTACTGTAAATGAACAGAGGACACCAGGCAGCAGTAATCAAGTCCTGTGACTAATCAGGCTTGTGCAAAATTCAGAATCTATAAATAGACTCTTTTTGATTCATGAGTTTCAGTTGAATTAAATTGAAAGTCTGTCTGTCTATCTATCTATCCATCTATATCGTTCTGTCGTTCTATCATTTTATCTATCATTCTATTGCAGTTCTTTGTTAACTCAATTTAAATTCAGTTGAAATTTAGGATTGGAATTATAGAGGTATACAATTCAGTTGAATTCAGTTCAGACCAATCAAATATTTTCTGATTAGCTGACACTGAGGGCCTACTTGACAGCATTTAATGATATGAATATGGCTCTGGGCTGACTAGCTCATCTATCAAATGAAGTAAAGAAAAAAAGTGACTTCTACAGTACAACCAGCTACGTTCATTCACCCCCAGATCTGTGCTAGGAAAGGTGGAGCAGAGTAGTCAGGGGAGTGGAGCAATGGGAGGACCTGATCCAGCCTGCAGCGAATCATCAGGTCTGATCAGTCACAGGAAGCTCTAATAGGCTTGTACAGGAAGCCATTGCGAGCGAAGAGGTCACTAGGTAATTGGCTGTGAATCCTGTTCCAGCATCCTCCCATGGGGCGGCTGCTCCTATAACTCACTTCCTGTCAATGATGTCAACCCTCGAGGGTCGATGAGGGGCTGCTGGCCGTCTTCCAACTCTGGAGAAGATGACAGTATGGCAATGACCGTAGATCACCCCCTACAGCCTGTACATACAATAATTGCCCTTAATTACCTCATGCCCCAATACAAAGCCCTCATGCGGTTCCAGCGTAGCTAATACCCCATCAGTCAGCACAGCTACGGCGTTCTGTCAACTCTTAACAACATGCCATCCACCTCTGTGTTTACCCCAGCAGGGCGAGGAGTGGATTCTACTGTCAGGGAGCAGATAATTCAGCCAGTGTTTTCTTCCCCAAACAAAACAAACTGTATGTATAATCACTGAGAGGTCACACGACACTGGGTCAGAGGCCACCTCTTGTTTATCCCGTGCCCTCTTATCATCCCTCCCACCTCTTCATCTGCTCTTACCACGGCTGGTGTTGAGAGGGGCTCCATGGCTTCCTGTTTTGGGCTTGCTGTCAACCTCTTTGACCTGTTGACCCCAGGACTTATCTCTCACTTTCTTAAAAGCCAAAAAGCCTTGTCTAAAAGCAGCAGGGCAAGTGCTCTATTTTTGTTCTTTTTGTTTCTGTTACTTGAAGGCTTGTAAACCGCAGCACATTAAGTGTGAGAGTGTGGTTGTATGAGGAAGCAACTTTTAGAAATGTCTAAGTTTGCTTTAATTATAGGGGGAAAAAATATATTTTCCCCCCATTTTAAAAGTTTTGTTTGGCCATGGTGTGAAAAAAAGAAAGTATCTTGTAGTTAGTTGCAAATGTTTTGTTATATCTATTACATTATTCAAACATAAAATTACTTGCATACCTCTCTTGTATGATGAGGTGCATGCATGCTATGATGTGCATGTTTTTCATTTATGTATTAAATAGACTTTTTATATATTATTAGTAACATTAGGAAAATTATTATATTAATTACTAGGTTATTTGTAGTAGCATCATTATTACAAATATTGTAACAAAACTGCTTATACATACACCCAAATGTATTAAAGTTGTAAGGATTTTTTTCTTTTTATTTAATGTTTACACCACGACATTTCATTAAATTTAAACTTTAGTTGAAAATAGCAAGTGTCTACTGGGCATTTATGTCACTTGATTAACATTCATGATCGAAGCTGATTAGAGCTTATAATGTGTCCCTCCATGTTTCAGATCTTTTCTTGCCCCCTGGTCATGTTTATATGTGCATGCATCATTGTGTGTGACAAATGATCAGTATTCTGTTCGCAAACATTGATATCTAGTTTGAGACTCAGTCTCAGTGGGTTTGTGCACTTTTTTTTAATCACTGGATGTTCCCCATTCCTCATGGATGGTGTGGCTCTGTTGTGCTCTGTGAGGTGAAAATGGATCCTCAGTAGAGGCACTTAGGAATGAGGAAAAATAGTGTGTCACGTATTGAAAAACTTGCAAAGAAACATCAAATATTTGGTAATGGAATTCAGATGCTGGCTGACTCTACAAATCCCATTAAAACAGCTTTGAGCTTCCTCCATCTCTGAGGAGCAGACTCAAAGCTATTTTAATAGTGCCCAGGACTTCATCATTTTAACAGCAAAAGAGTTCCTGCTCTGTACTAGATACATAATTTGCATGGCATTAGGACCAGATAAAACGAAGATTGCTGCACGACTCAATGGCTCATTTCTGCCTTCTCCATACGATAATAGCAATCAACAGATATTTGTTGCTTTTTTCCTGTTCATTTAACTGCTTCTGTGTTGGTTCACTTCAATCATGAGCTGTTTTCCCCCCTCCCTTCCTTTCTTCCCCTGTTTTCTCTCTCCCATCCTCTCCCTCTTCACAGGATTCGGCTTTGTAACTTTCGAGAACGAGGATGTGGTGGAAAAGGTCTGCGAGATTCATTTTCACGAAATCAATAATAAAATGGTGAGTTGCTTTCACCTCTTTGCAATTTTTCAATTCGGGGGCCGGGATTAATATTTGACGCTGGAAGCAGAATGGGTGCTTATAATGGGCAGCGTACAGTGAGGGTGACAGGGCTGCCATGTGCGCGTGGGCGGGGGGTGTCATCCCTATCCCCGACCAGCCTGCTTTCAAGGGGATGAGGAGTCACTGGTGTGCACCAGCCACAAACCATGAAATTGTGTCTTGGATCCCTGTCTGCCAGGCTGGGAGTAAAGGCCTGTCTCTCTTCCCCCGTTACAATTCCCTCATCCAGGAAAGACTGGGAAAGGATCTGGCAGTCATTCTGGGGGCTTGTTAAAAGTGTGTGGTGCAAAAGATTGAAAGAAGATTTAAAAATCAAAGCCTGGGTGCCTCTTGCATGTTGGTACCTGATGCCCTGTCCTGCGATTTTATGTTTGCTGCTACGGTTCGTATTAGATTTCTCCATGTCTTGCCAAGCTTTTGAGAATGAAAGACAGCAGAGGGACACGGTTCCTGACCTTGAGGCTTCTGCAGGCGAGCCACAGATGCAGCTTGCAGTGCTCGCAAAGAAATACCAAATGAGGACAACCCCGGTGTCATTCTACATGACAGCCAGTTAGCAGGATTTTTAATGAAGGTCAGCCCTGTCAGTTAAGTTCAGTTACTTGTACTTACAAATCACTGAGAACAATGAGCCTCCAGGAGTTTTCCATGAGATCGAGCTCAGTACTGATTTGTGCCGTTGATGATCAGCTTTGGGGAGTTAACTAGCCAAATTTGGCTATATTGATTCATTAGAATGACTCAGAAGTAGCTCAGTTGTTACCAAAACAGTTTGTTTTGTATTTGTTTGTTTATCAATTCTTGATTTAATTCGATTCCAATTAATTTGGGTACATTTCAGTTATGTGTCCCTTTTGCTTATTATATATGAAAAAAAATCGTTCTTTAATGCTGAAAAATGACACAGGACATTGATTTAGACAAATTCAAAACAGTAAAAAAACATTACAGTAATTTAGTAACTTTTTTTTTTTAACTGTCCATGTAAAGAACAGACTCATAAGAATCACTTGTTTTTGTAATCAGGCTACATGTTTTTGATTCACTAAAACGAACCACTCAAAAGAGTGAATTGTTTGTGAATAAAATGAAACTTTTTATTTTATTTTATTTTAAATATAGTGTTTACTATAGTTGTTTATGCTCATTTTTATTGATATGACCCTATTTGAAAGATTTAATTTTTTTATATTTAAAAATTGCTTGTCTACAGTTTAAACTACTATAGTAGTAGTAGTTTCAATTGCAGTTTCCAAATAGCTTTTCCAACCTTGCTGATGACACAGTGTATCTCAGTATTCCATTCTAAACATGACAACACAGTGAGACCAGCCTCTCCTGTCTCTCCATTGATTTTTATATGATATTGCATCAAATGTTCTCATTATTTAGTGAGCGTCTAGAGAAAGCCTGAATTTCTTTTCTTCTTTTAACATGTTTCCCCCAGCGTCTCATAGCAGGAACCTCGCTGTTGATCGACTGGCTGGCTTAAATTGGGCCATTGGAGAATTACTTGCATAGCTAATATCAGTCACGAAGGTTTAAGAAAAAGATAAATGTGGCGAAGGGAAAACATTTACTTAAAATGACAGCTTTGTCATGGTCTCTCAGTTCAGATCATTTCTCAGATGGTGTGCAGGGAACGAAAGGCTTAAAAATCAAGAAAAAGGTCAAGGCGTGTTGGGCGGAAACCCGTCCTTCCTTTTGCTCTCTTTTGCTCTTCTTACTGATTTCAATTGCCATCATCAAGTTGCTTTTGCCAAAAAGATCAAAGTGGTCTCTGAAGCCTCGTCTGCTAGCAGGCCTGTGTGCATATTTGACTTGCTAATTCGACCATGGTAATATTGTTATTATCATGAATATGTGTACAGCGGACGTAATGATCTCCCTCTGCTTGTGGAAATGCCAGCTTTGTACGTCGACTGCCTGCTTGGTGAGCCGCCATCTTCAGAGGCACCATCTGTGACCCTCGACCCCAGGCTGTGGAGCAGAGAGCGAGCCAGGCTCAGTAGCTGTTTATAGAGAGGCTCTGTTGACCTAGTACGGCTACTCTCGAGCTGCCAGGGCCCTGGATATCCATAAATGACCCTAAATGGTTCCAGGATCTGGAAAGCTGGACCGGTGGAGGTCTCAACAGACCCCACGCTTCCTGATCAGCTTATTTGATATCTGGCCTGGAAACGCAGCCAGACATTAAACATTCAGAAGACATTTCCTTGATCCACAGGCTTGGAGACAGGAACGTAGAATCCAGCAGGCAGGTTAGATCCCACACGAAGAGGTTCTGATGGATCGAGATTACCTTGAAGTGAACTCTTTAGAGATTCATTTGAAATGTAATTCCACTTCAGAAGTAAACCATTTAGCGAGCTGAACACATATTATCGCTTGATTTTTTAATCAATGAAAACAATTAAAACTAAAGCACAGCGTGACTAGTTCCAGATTGAGCAGATATGGTTGGGAATCACTATTAATAGACAGACCCTAATGGTTGTTTTGACTATTTTCCATCCCTTTCGAACAGCACAATCAGAGTCATAATATCCTGTTACGTCTGTGTGGGAGCTTATTTCTGAAGTCCCATTCCAAACATTCTCTATTTTATCAGGCATTCCAGAGACTTTTATCCCCCCCAGTGCTGTCTGTCATGAAGGAATACTGTGTGAACGTGAGCCGACTGCGTTGGATAAGTGGCTGAAATCACCTGGACAGCTATAAAGCGCCGGAATGACTTCAGCACTCTCCCTGCAGTTTGTCCATTGGAAAATGCCTTCAGAAGAGGCACCGGAGCTGAAAGGAAAGTTTTGTGACCGTAGTTTCTACTGTAGTTAGAGGGGTCATTATGGGTCATTCCTGTCATGTGGCAACTTTTCAACTTCAAACATCACAGAATTGTAATACTAATGAGTTTATATCATATACATATTTTTATAGATGGAAATCCAAAAAAATTTTCAATTACTAAATTACAAAAAATATTATAGAATATGTATATACTGTGTATATACAGTGGGTACGGAAAGTATTCAGACCCCCTTAAATTTTTCACTTTGTTATATTGCAGCCATTTGCTAAAATCATTTAAGTTAATTTTTTTTCCTCATTAATGTACACACAGCACCCCATATTGACAGAAAAACAGAATTGTTGACATTTTTGCAGATTTATTAAAAAAGAAAAACTGAAATATCACATGGTCCTAAGTATTCAGACCGTGTTTTTCTGTCAATATGGGGTGCTGTGTGTACATTAATGAGGAAAAAAAATTAACTTAAATGATGTTAGCAAATGGCTGCAATATAACAAAGAGTGAAAAATTTAAGGGGGTCTGAATACTTTCCGTACCCACTGTACGTATATATACATATACATATACACACACACACACACACTTTTTTTATTGGGATGTGAAAGTGCACCGCATAGTTGGAATGACTTTTACTATGCCAAATGCTAACAGCTAACGTATAATATGCTAATTAAAGCACTCCCATTTAAAACCCTTAAAACTAAAAATAAATAAGTACCCAGTCTCACTAATCGACTAGTGGGATGTTGGGGCATTGTGACCCACAGCTGAGTGAGGGAGCGTTCAATAACAGGCTAATTTTAGGTCCCGGCCCAGGAAGTGTTATTTATAGTCTGGTGGCTGTTTGACACCATGGAAGAAGTGACTGTATCCTGACCCCATGTAAACCCTCTCTCTGGGAGTTCTCATGGACATATGACTGCACATGTTATCTCCTTCTCTTTTTGATTCTCTATCACTGCCTCACTCTCTCCCTCTGGGAATCATCACCTCTCCAACCTTGGAACAGTATGGACTGCATAAGTCATCTCTCGTCACATCATATTCAGGAACACATTCTTTCCTTTAGCCGCCCGTTACTAAGCGATCAAGTACTCAGTCAGTACCCTCCTCGCCCTTAACGCGTAAAGAGCAATGCCGCACCAGAACCATGCGTGCCTGCGGCAGAATGATGTGAATTCTGTGCTCATGTCCTCCCTGGCAGTGCCCTTGCCTCCTACGGGCAGTGTGGAGGTTGTCGCTCTCATTTCTGTTACTGTTCCCACCCTTCCTCTCTCAGTGTGCCCCGGCCGCCCAGCCAGGATTGCCGCCTGCCCACAGCGAGCCAGGCCATTAGCATGTATGATAAGTGCCGAGTGTGTCGGCAGGCCAATTTAGTGTCTGCCTTGCCGCGCTGAGGCCCCGGCCTGCGCTATCATTGGAAGATAATCTACCGCTGTGAGGAGAGAAGAGGGAAAAAGTGTCAGTTCAGGATGGAAGAAAATGACTCCTATTTTCCAACCCTTTTTTTTTTTTTGGCCTGAAGGCTCGTGGCTCTCTGAAGCTATCTTCAAGATGTGGTGCAAACAGCGGTGACAGTGCAGAGTTAGTGTGCTTTCATGCCTGCTTCATTTAGCAGCCGCTTACTGAGTCTCAGTCTGTTTAAATATTTGGTTTTGCTGAAAAATGTCGGATTATAAAATATATATGTGTGGTTCAAAAGCGCAAGTCATTTTTAGCTGAAATATTTCTGGCCACAGCAGCAAATACAAAAGTGAAACTAGTGTGTAGATCACCTGTAATCTATAAATATACATTTCTTAAAGGGAGAGTCCACTAAAAAGTGAAAATCATTTACTCACCGACTTGTCATTCAAAACTTGTATCACTTTATGGAACACAAAAGATATTTTGAAAAGACAATTGTTTTGGACCCCATTGACTTTCATTGTAGGAACAGAAACCTTCTTATTCCACAAAAGAAAGTAATGGAAGAATTCTCTGTACAGCACAGAGATCTTTATACAAAATGATTTGCAAAACACAAGCAATATGGGGAAATATGTTTGTAAATGACTTAAACAGTAAATGAAGGAAACTAACCAAAGCAGGTGTAAAAACTTTTAATAGGACTCATAATTTATTT